TATATATACATATATATACATATATATACATATATACATATACATATACATATACATATGCATATACATATGCATATACATATGCATATATATATGCATATATATATGCATATATATATGCATATATATATGCATATATATATGCATATATATATGCATATATATATGCATATATATATGCATATATATATGCATATATATATGCATATATATATGCATATATATATATATATATATATATATATATATATATATATATATATATATATATATATATATATATATATATATATATATATATTTGAATATATATATATATATATATATATTTGAATATATATATATATATATATATTTGAATATATATATATATATATATATATATATATATATATATATATATATATATTTGAATATATTATATATATATATATATATATATATATATATATTTGAATATATATATATATATATATATATATATATATATATATATATATATATATATATATATATATTTGAATATATATATATATATATATATATATATATATATATATATATATATATATATATATATATATATATGAATATATGTGTGTGTGTGTGTGTGTGTGTGTGTGTGTGTGTGTGTGTGTGTGTGTGTGTGTGTGTGTGTGTGTGTGTGTGTGTGTGTGTGTGTGTGCGCGCCTGTTTATGTGTGAGTGTGTGCCTGTTTGTGTGTGTGTGCTTGGTTGAGTGTGTGCGCCTGTTTGTGTGTGTGTGTTTGTGTGTATGCGTGCATGCTTGTGTGTGTGGGTACATGCGAGTGTGTGTGCAAGTACATGTGAATGTGCTTGCATGCATGTATTTATGTGTACTTGTGTTTGTATTTGTATCTGTGCTAACATATATGTGTAAGTTGTATATATAAAATACATACATGTATAGTTTATGTGTATGCATAGATATATACATATATTCATACATATATGTGTATAGCTAAATAATTGATAATTCAATTTTTCATGATTCATGCCCAAAGTTTTTATTTTACCCCTAAAATTTCATTCAAGAAATAACCAAACTATAGGAATTCCTTTTTACTCAATTAGGTATCCTATGCAGGGTGTCCCTCAAGTAATGTCAGAGATTTTTAGAGGTGGTAGAATTTGTGACCATGAATAGATTTTCCTTTTCCTTTTCCTTTTGTTTTTCACAAAGGCATTTTTAAAAATTGCTTTTGGTATAGGGTGGAAGTTAGAAAATTATACAAGGCGAGTTTAAACGATAGGAAAATGGAATGGTTATAAGAGGGAGGGAGGAAGGTTGGGCCTTTGTTTATAATTATGATGGTTTTTGTGCAACTTATGGCACAATTCAGCATCTCTAACTGTAAAGTGCTACCTTGTGCAGTTTTTAACATCCACCGTATGGTGAAAGTAATTACAAAAAATGCATATGGTTAAGATTTTTTGTTCAGAATCACATATTCTTTCACTTTGTGGGACATGTCTGTAAAAGACTTATATTTCAGTGCATGTTTTTTATCTTGATATCAGTAAGTCTCAGTATTAGATATTGTTTTTATGAATTGTTACAGAAGTTATATCAGCTTTGTGCAATATTATAACCAAAGTAATGTGCTTAAAAGAAAACTAGCAATCCCTGTGCTTATATTTTTAATAGCTACTACAAACTTCATACAGCTTGAGTTGTGTTATAGTCACTCCAGATTTCAGCTAAAACTCAGTGTTGTAGTTCTTGGTTCTGGAAACGTTGTATCCTGCCCTTTTGCCATCCTTACCACCGACAAAAATCCATCAGTTTCATAGAGATACTATACATCACACTCTACCACACCGGATTGAAACCTTTATAGTGACTAAGAAGGAAGTAATTATTACACAGTTCTTCATGTATTTGATACTTGATTCTGTTCTAGAGGTGAGGTATAGAACCTGCACCATTTTCTTTGGTAGATTTTGGACTCCTCTATAAACCTTACGAGCCACTAAACTTGTCCTTTATATAGTGTCCTGCAGCTTTCAGTACATTTATATGGGGAGGATACTGTACTTCCACTCAGTGATGTATAATGGGAAAATACCTGCTTGCATTACAGCAGCCTCCTAACTCTCATAATTTTCAAAACTGTAAGTAAGTGGATCTTCACTTAGCAGCTTCTCAGCCTTCAGTTAATTTTGGTAGTTGTTATCTCTCTCTGATTTTCATGCGCTGATATTCACAATTAGATGTTGAAGTGATCAGGAGATATGCCAATTTTTTAGGGTATCATTATTCTTGAAATAAAAGTTCAGACACCTCTTTTATTTTGTTTTCTTTTTCACCCTTAGTCCATATCTGCTATACAGAAAGTAATTTTCTTTTCTCTGGGGTAGCCTGTATCCTTCTTTTCATATTATGTGTAAGAATGGCCATGAGCCAACTGTATAATGGTCCTCAGTGGCATTTAACCTTTAAAGGTACAGAGGATAGAAAAAATGTTTTTGATGTATTG